GAATCACGAGTCCCTCTTTCTTGCTTCAACTCCGGCTTGCTTAAAAGGTTTCTAAGCCAAACTGCATGACGGACACTCCAGGATGCTTGCAACGTACTCGGCTTCACAAGTTGACAACATTACAATGGGCTGCTTTTTTGAAAGCCAGGTGAATGCTTGTGTTTCCCATGAAGAATACATATCCGGATGTGCTTTTCAGGTCATCAACATCTCCACACCGATCACTTATCCAGAGTAGTCTACTAGTCGATAATCATCCGTCCTAGTATACATTAGGCCAAGTGACACTTGTTCCTCTCACATACCTTAGAATTCTCTTTAGTGCCTTCCAATGAGTATACCTTGGCTCCTCCATATATCGACTTGCTATTCCAACACTTAACATTAAATGCAGTCCGGTATTTGTAAGATACCTAAGACTTCCAATCGAGACTTCGGTATTTGCTCGCATCAACTCGGTCTCCATCTCGCATATTTAGAAAGTTTTGTACCGGGTTCCATAGGGGTGGAAACCGGGTTGCAACTTGTCATCTTAAACTTCTTCAAGATCTCCTCAGCATACCTTTCCTGCGACACAAAGATGCCATCCTTTCCCTGAACAACTTCTAAGCCAAGAAAATACTTCATAAGACCCAAGTCAATCATCTCAAACTCCTTCTTCATCACTTCTTTAAAATCTTCAATTAGCTCGGCATTATTTCCCATGAAGATAAGATCATGAACATATAGGGCAACAAACATCACATCTTCTCCTTTCTTCTTTATGTATAGAGCATGTTCATAAGGACACTGCTCATATCCATTCCTTTTGAAGTAAGTGTCAATTCTTTCATTCCATGCTCGTGGAGCTTGTTTCAAGCCATAAAGTGCCTTCTTCAATCTCAGCACTTTCTTCTCTTCTCCTCTTCGCATGTATCCGAGTGGCTGTTCAACATATACTTCCTCCTCCAAGATTCCATTCAGAAATGCCGACTTTACGTCCATCTGCAAGATTGTCCATCTGTGTTGAGCTGCTAAGGAAATCAGCAACCTAATTGTTTCCATTCTCGTCACTGGGGCGAATACTTCGTCATAGTCTATTCCTTCTTTCTGCTTGTACCCCTTCACTACGAGTCGAGCTTTATATCGTTCAACTTCTCCTTCAACATTTGTCTTCTTCTTGTACACCCACTTTACGCTAATAGGTCGTGCTCCTTTGGGAAAATCAGTTAGCTCCCATGTGTTGTTGCGTTCTATTGCTCCGATCTCCTCGTCCATTGCCTTTCTCCACCTTTTCTCCTGCACGGCCTCTTCAAAACTTAAGTCTTCTGAATCTGCCAAGAGACATACAACATGCACTTCGTCAGTGAAGTTGTATATATCTTGTAAACTTCGCGCTTTGGGCTGTAGAGGTTCATCTTCTTCATCAGAAGTCTCATGATCTCTCACAGTATGTGGTGTATCAACTTCCGAGTTTCTACTTCCTATGGACTCCTTCTCTGGGTTGTTCCAACTCCACTCGCTTTTTTCATCAATTTGAACATCTCGACTCATGATGACCTTCTTAGTTATTGGGTTAAACAACCTGTACGCCTTGGCTTTTTCATCATACCCAATAAACACGTACTTTTTACTTCTATCTTCGAGCTTGATCCTCTGTTGAGCTGGAACATGACCATAAGCTATGCTACCGAACACTTTAAGATGAGACACACTCGATTTTCTTCCACTCCAAACTTCTTGCGGTGTCTTCTCGTTCAGCTTAGCATGTGGACATCTATTTTGCACATAGATGGCACATTGCACTGCTTCTGCCCAGAACTCCTTTGACACGTTTTTGCTTCTCAACATTGTTCGAACCATGTCAAGAATGGTTCGATTCTTCCTCTCGGCAACTCCGTTTTGTTGGGGTGAGTATGGTGCTGTCAGAAATCTCCTTATCCCTTGCTCCTCGCAATACTTCATGAGTTCGGATGAAATGAACTCGCCTCCTCGATCAGACCTAACAGATTTGATAGGCATGCCAGTCTCTTTCTCAACCATTACTTTAAATCTCTTAAACACCTCAAATACCTCGGATTTCTCCTTCAAAAAATATACCCAGGTTTTTCTTGAAAAATCATCTATAAAAGAAATGAAATACCTTTTCCCATTGAAGGACTCAGGGGTAATCGGTCCACAAATATCTGTGTGAATCAATCCGAGTTGTTCCTTTGCACGGTACTCGACCGTCCTCGGAAATGAGGTCCTCAGATGCTTCCCGAGCACACACTCTTCACATAATTTCTTTTCAAATTTCATAGACGGGAGTCCTCGCACCATCTCTTTCTTTACCAACTCGGTCAGTCCACCAAAATGCAAGTGGCCAAATCGAAAGTGCCACATCATTGCTTCATCCTTTACGTCAAGTTTCAAACACCTCTCTTGGACTATCTTCAAGTCCAACTTGTACATTCTGTTCTTCTTCATTTCTACTTGGACAATCAAACGATCCGACTTGTCCTTCAGGTATAGTACTCGGTCTTTCATCAGAACCGAGTAGCCTTTCTCCATCAGCTGACCCATACTCAATATGTTGCTTTTGAGATCGGGTACATAGTACACGTCTCTGATTTCTCCAATTCGGCTATTCTTCTGCAGGTACCAGATTGTACCTCTGCCTTTTACTGCCACCTTTGATGCATCTCCAAATGACACGTGTCCGACCTCAACTTTAGTGAGCTCCTTAAAAAGGTTTTCGTCCCCGCACATGTGGTTACTTGCTCCTGTATCAAGATACCAAACCGAGTTGTCAGAACAGCTCGGACTTAGCTCGACATCCGAACTTCTTGACATCATCAATACTCCTTCCTCAGTGTCCTCAGAGAGGAGGTTTGTCTCCTTCTTCCTCTCAGATCGGCAGTCCTTCGCGAAATGCCCAACCTTCCCACAATTATAACATTTGATACCTGAATAACAGTCCTTAGCAAAATGACCGTACTTCCCACATTTGAAGCACTCAACTCCGGAATTGCTTGACTGACCACCTCGGTCTCTACCGTCACGACCTCTACCTTGTCTTCGACCACGCCAGTTTTGTTGACTGACTGACTCCTTGCCTCTTTCATATTCTCCTCTACCTCTACCACCTCGGCCTTGAGTGTTCTGAGCATAAGGAACCTTCTTCTCCTTTAAGGTTGCCTTTGCTTGGAGTGCTTGATCAAGGGACTCCTCTTTCTTCTTCCCTCTCCGCTGCTCATGCGCTTCAAGCGACCCGGCAAGCTCTTCCACCGAGAGCACCGACAAGTCCTTGGACTCTTCTATTGCACAAACGATATTCTCAAAATCGTCAATTAACGACCTTAAGATTTTCTCTACCACTCGGCAAGTGGGCAGCGTCTCTCCATTTCTTCCGAGTTGATTCACCACGGTCTCAACACGGGAGATGTACTCGGCAACCCCTTCGACCTCTTTCATCCTCATGCTTTCAAGCTCGCCTCTAAGAGTTTGAAGCCTGACTTGCTTCACGCGATTATCCCCTTTATATGCCTTCTCCAGAATATCCCACGCTTCTTTTGAAGATTTAGCATTTGCTATCTTCTCAAAGCCGGACTCATCAACAGCTCGGTACAGTACGTACAAAGCCGTTTTGTCCTTTACTCGTGTTGCTCTCAATGCAGCAAGCTGAGCAATCGTCTGCTCTTCAATATTCTCTGGTTCTTGGTGCCCATTTTCGACCACATCCCATACTTCTTGGGAACCAAGGAGAGCCTTCATTTGCAGGCTCCAGTTATCATAGCTTACGCCTTTTGATAACTTTGGTAGGGGCATGCTGTTAGCTAAGTTGGCCATCTCAAACAAACTCTCTAACTCTCAAACACTCTCTCTAACGCACTCAGACACTCAGACTCTCAAGCTCTGATGCCAATTTGTAGACAAACAAGTATCTAAATAAAACACTCTGTATATTATCATTTGATGTATTTGCAATGAGTGATGCATGGTCAATTTATAGGCCCTTTGGATATGGCCTCTCAACTACATGCATTTAATACAACTACTACCTTTCAACTACATACATTCAATACAACAACTACCTCTCAACTACTACCTCTATAACCACTACCTCTCAACTACATGCATTTAATGTTTACCTAACAATCCTGACAGCTTCAATGAATTGTAAGTAGTTGCTCTATATATATGCCTTTCCAATCGTTTCTTTTTGATAAATTTAAATCGAGAAATGGGATAGATAACTTCCAAGTCCTTCTGCATAAATATTTATAGGAGATATTCTATGATAGAAATACTAGTTTGTCGTAATTGTTAGAGAGCTTGACGTATTGTTTAGGTTTAAGGAAAGTTTTTCTTTATTTAGTATGAAAACTTTAATCCCATGTTTCTAGTATAGTAAGGTCTTAGGTTTCATTTTACCTGAAAAACACAAGTTATTGAAAGGAATTCATTCATTTATTTCTCCCGATATAGTTTTATAGGGAATGTGCAATACCATTCGTGATGGTATGAAAGAAAGCTTCTGTTACATAGTAGGCCAGGTTTATTGAAGCAAAAAAATAAACGTTGATGTTACCTGTTTTAGCAGGCCAGCAACCTCGTTAATTAAGGACTCTGCTTCCTAAAAATTTTAGTTTCCTATGTATATTCAAAGTACACTTCGTTTGTCCCAAATAATTTATTTACTCTTTGGTCCAAGGAAGAATACTTTTGCTCTACCCTTCTAGGAATCATGTGATCTACACCTGCGTTTGAAAATTTTCACCACAGAATCTGGTTATTTAGCTGAATTTAACCTTGGTCATACAGATAGAAGTAAACATTGAAACTGATAAACTGAAAAAACTGAGGAGATTCTTGAATAGTTGAGTTCATTTTCATTACACAAAAAAATACCATTTTGAGATTTTGTTATTCTGTTTCTATTTCCTCTTTCTAACGAAAGGGAGATTTTTACAAGTTGAGGAGATGCCTATTGTACAAATGTCTCCACTAATCTATGTTAGTCACCTAAAGTGAGAGATTTATTGTCCATTCAAGCAAGAAGTTATATGTTGGAAGACTTCTTCACTGCAAGGAATTGTGAGGCCACCCATGGGATGATCATATCCAAACTCTTCCTCTGCTTGATTCAAGAGGTGCTGGAATGAAGGTTTATTCAAGTATGATACAGGGATCACAAATCGCTTCATTTTCTCCCCGACATAGACTGCAAGATGACCCTTTTGTGCATCAGCTGCTTTTGAAGATGTTTGATTTGCTGCAAATATTGCCTTTCTGATACCATGTAAACGAAAACCCATTGCTGTATTTATATTATAAGAAAAGTTTTGGGAATAAGCTCTTGAATTTTGAATGCTTTGGGATGTGAATGATTTGTTGGTCCTAAATGCTTACAGCCATGAGTATATATAGATAACATGATATACAAGAAACAATTAATTACTGGAGAAGGATAGTCATAGGACCAAATGAGATATAGCATGTGGTGCTGTCCTGAAGGACTTTTGTAAATAGCAACGTATCGTGTTATAGTAGATAATACATGTCCCACCTTATTGATCTATGAAGAAGAAAGACTAATTGTTTCGTAGTGCCTCATAATATGACCAAGCATTCAATGTTGATTCTCTTCTTATCTCCTCTGTACGTCAAATTCCAAGCAACACTGCATGACATGTGCATAAATGATGTCTCCGAACCCACCACCTTGATTAATTTTCCTCGTTAGACTTTCTTTGTCATAGATCCAGAAGGTGGGGCTTGTATTATCTACCATAGCATGTTACATTGATAATGAAGAGAGTCCTCCTAGACACCATATGCCTTGTCTCTCATTTGGTTCCATGGCTCCTATCTCATAACAATCCAACAATAATTCAAGTGATCAATTAATAACCTTTTTGCATATCCTTTTATCTATAAATATTTAGGGCTACAAGCATTCGGGACAACCACAAACCTTATATCATCTAAAATTCAAAATCTTATTTTCAAGAGTCTTGAACCCGATCAATACAACAATGGGTTTTCGTTTATCTGGATTCAGAACGGCACTATTTGTAGGAAATGAAGCATCTTCAAAAGCGGTGGATGCACCAAAGGGCTATCTTTCAGTATATGTGGGAGAGAAAATGAAGCGGTTTGTAATCCCAGTATCATACTTGAATCAACCTTCATTCCAGGAGTTGTTGAGTCAAGCTGAGGAAGAGTTTGGATATGATCATCCCATGGGTGGCCTCACAATACCTTGCAGTGAAGATGTTTTCCAACATATAACTTGTCACTTGAATGTACAACAATAAAGCCTGACATAGATTAGTAAACATTATATAGAACAGAGATCTTCTCAACTTGTAAAGATTTACCAATTTTTGAGGAATGACAATGATTCAATTTCTCTGTTTCTGTTTATGTATTGCTTTGTTACTTTTGTCTGTAACAAGACCTTTAGACAGTGTTAGGGGGTTGATACGGTGTGGGAAAAGCTAATAGTATCTTGATAGGGCCAAAGATGAACTTGAATTTATTTATTTGGGACGGGGTAGAATGATTTTTTCGTTCTATAGTAAAACATAAAACTAAAGTTAATGGTCTTAATTGAACATCATTTTATTGAAATATATCAAAACAACAGTGGCACATATGAAATGTTTCATGGTGTTTCTCAATTTGTGCTGCATAAATAAATGAAAGTCACATCTCAATTCAGCTCATTGTGTGTCTTTTGTTGTGACCATTGTGCCAAATAATTATTCCAACTGACTTTGAAATTACATCTATGAAGATTTTTCATCTTTCATTTCTTTTGGTTTAAGAATCAGTAGGTCTGTAGTAGATTTATTGGTCCATCAATCTAGTCTAACTAGACTTGGTACATGAAAATAATTATTTTTAGAATTTTTTATTCAAATTGTAAAAAGTTGAATTCGTATAACATGGTTTGTATAATCCAGAATCAAAGTAAAGACAGAGTGACGTCTTCTCTGGCTCATGTGGAAGTGAATTAGATCACGGTGTCACTGCTGTGAAATTTGATGTTAGTGATGATAGGACTGAGTATTGGTTCGTTAAGAACTCATGGGGTAAAGAAGGGTAGATTAGGATGCAAAGGGTGTGGAGGTAGGTCTCTGGCATAGCTATGCAAGCATCTTACTGCATAATTAAAAAATTTGGATACGTTACTATTTACAATTCTATATGTTTCTTTTTAAGCATCACTCGTACAGATAGTATATATTACTGTATCCCGGGCGAGAACACAATATTGTAAATTGCACTTGTTATCAATCAATTACTATCCAATAAAAACTGAATCACGGTTATTAATTATGAGTTCTTTAATCTAAGCTAGAGATATCAGAACCATGACATAAAGAAGAGAAAAATAGTAAGGATAGGAAGAGATTCTGAGAGAGATAATTGAATTCTCTATGAAACAATTGTTGCTCATAACAATGATACAAAGGGTGTATGTATGCATAGTATTGACCTAGCGTTGTTTAACCACGTTATGACAAACTATGATATATGAACTTGTCAGTCTATATATTCAGAAGACTCCTATTGTACAAAATGTCTCCACTAATCTACGTTAGTCTCTAAAACTCAGCGATTTATTTTCAATTAAAGGAAGAAGTTATGCGTTGGAAGACATCTTCGCTGCAAGGAATTGTGAGACCACCCATGGAATGATAATATCCATACTCTTCTTCAGCTTGACTCAACAAGTCCTGGAATGGAGGTTGGTTCAAGTATGATATAGGGACCACAAACCGCTTCATTTTTTCTCCAACATAGACTGAAAGATATCCCTTTGGCACGTCCACAGCTTTTGAAGATGCTTGATTTGCTGCAAATAATGCCTTTCTGATACCGGGTAAACGGAAACCCATTGTTGTGTTGGTTTGAGAGGAGTATTGAGAAGAAGCTTTTGAATTTTGAATGCTTTAGATGTGAATGATTTGTGTTGGTTCGAAATGCTTAAAGCCATGAATATATATAGAGAAAAAGGATACGTAACAAGCCATTAGCTACATGAATTATTGGTGAAGGAGGGCTATGAGATAGAGTAATGGGACCAACCGAGAGACAAGGGTGTATGGTGTTGTCTTGAGAACTTGCTCTTGATTGAACATAACATGTTATAGTAGTTAATACTATCCCACCTTCTCAGTTAAGGCCAACAGATTTCCCCTCTTGAAAATAAATATATGAAAACAAAAAAAAAAATCAAAGTTGATCATGTTGACAACTATTAAGGTGGGGCGGAGGCAATGAACTTACTGCGTACAGATTTCATGCTGATGTGAGTTAGAATTTGTGGTATAGAAAAAATGTGGTTTATGGTACAAACATTTATTCAGAGCTGTCAATCTGGTCTGCTTAAGGTTTACCAGTTGTTATCAATCACTTTGATATTAATAGCAGTGTCATCTCAAATATTTGAAGAAGAAACACGTGATATGTCCAAAGCATATCCACCCTTGTATTAGCTATGTTGCAATTCATGAACAACCATTACCGAGGAATGTGAGGTATGCACTCTCATTGAACTAATGCATTCAATCCACACCATTTTTAATAGAGACAGACATATTTTTGAAGAATTACTAAGTCAAGCAGAAGAAGAATTAGGATACAATAATCCAACATGTTGTTTGCCATTACCATGCAAAAAGGATAAGTTCCTAATTGTCACCATTCACTTGAGTGAGCTGTAAAATATGTTAATAGAGACAGTGATGAGGCAAGTTTTTACAGATGGTACTTTCTGTTATTATTATGAGGATTTTTTTTTACTTTGATTTCTTGTATAATTCTGTTGAAAGTTTTGAAAACTATTGTCAGCATGAGAATATAAAACAAAACATTTTTTAAACACTTTTTACCTTTTGCAAAATCTCATTCAATTTTATATTTTCAACAGTATCGTTATCTAATTTAAGTTGAAGGCCCTAATGCTTTCAATCCACACCATTTTGCTATTTTGCTGCAATATCTGTTTATTTTATTTTTTTAATAATTAACATATTTTTGCTCCACTAATATATTACTTCAATATTTAATGTCTGATTTTATTTTATACTGACTTCAAACTTTTTGTTTGGTTCGAGAAGTTTATTGTTTATTGATACTGATTGTAAAAGATTTGAGTGAATTAGAGCCTTAATAAAACCTTAATGTTTGTTTGACTAAAATTAAAAAGCATGAATATTGATAGATATGTGGGTATAATACAGAAAAAATACAGTCAATAATATTAAGTTAATTATTATAATTTATTTTATGTATGTTTCACACACACACACACACACATATATATATATATATATATATATATATATATATATATATATATATAACTAATCCTTAAAATCTAACGTTAATTCCAGATAAAATTTTATCAGTATAAAACTGCTATAAAACAAAATTCTGACAATAAACGGCTAAAAAAATTATGCAGAGACTAAACTTATTGATTTGTCATATCATACTGTGCGTAACTAAAAATTACAAATAAGAAAAAAAAAAAGCATAAAGATAAAGAAATAAATAAAGCTATATTATATTAGATTTGGAACGCTAGAAGGGAAGAACACTTTATTTTGTTCTGCGTTAGCAACATGCATGCACATAAAACAACAAAACAAATTTCAAACCTTCATTTTTATAATTCCAAACTTTTCCAACACCCACAAACAAGTTATTTTTTGAAAACTACTCTGCCACCGTATGCAGTGCCTATACGTTACGCTTGACAAATAATTTGTCTGGAGTACCCACACCTCCATACAATCCAAGAATCTTATTCAAAATATTCTCATTCGGACGTTTAGCCAAAGGTAGTTTCATATTTGAGTTGCACACAAGAAGATTAGTTTACGATTCAACTTGACTTTACCATAAATACCACAAATCGTCTTGGGAACCTCTCAACACATCTTTCACACATTTCACTAACCAACCACAACTATTAGTTCCCATATTTCTCACACAACTCTACATACCATGGCTGCCAAAAATCATTTCTATCATATTTCAATGGCACTACTTTTCTTCATGGCATTCTGGGCCTTTCAAGTCACATCTCGCTCTCTGCAAGATGTCTCGATGTATGAGAGGCACGAGAACTGGATGGCTCGTTACGGCAAAGTGTATAAGAGCCCTCAGGAAAGGGAAAAACGTTTCAGGATATTCAAGGAAAATGTGAATTACATTGAAACCTTCAACAATGCTGCAACTAAACCTTACAAGCTAAGCATTAATGAATTTGCAGACCTTACCAATGAGGAGTTCGTAGCACCAAGAAATAGGTTCAAGGGTCACATGTGTTCCTCAATCTTAAGGACAACCTCTTTTAAGTATGAAAATGTAACTGCAGTGCCATCCACAGTGGATTGGAGGCAAAAGGGTGCAGTGACACCCGTCAAGGACCAAGGTCAATGTGGTAAGTGTTTCATTATTCATTATTATGAAGTTAAATAATAATGGTTGATATCTAACTATAATTTGTATTTTAGGATGTTGTTGGGCCTTTTCTGCTGTTGCAGCAACTGAAGGAATTCATGCACTGACTACTGGAAAATTGATCTCTTTGTCGGAACAAGAACTTGTTGATTGTGACACAAAGGGTGTGGACCAAGGTTGTGAAGGTGGTCTTATGGATGATGCTTTCAAATTCATCATCCAAAATCATGGACTCAATACTGAAGCCAATTACCCATACAAGGGTGTTGATGGAACCTGCAATGCAAATGAAGCATCTCAGCATGCAGTTTCCATTACTGGGTATGAGGATATCCCTGCCAACAATGAGAAAGCACTGCAGAAGGCTGTGGCCAATCAACCAGTGTCTGTAGCCATTGATGCCAGTGGCTCTGACTTTCAATTTTACAAGAGTGGTGTCTTCACTGGCTCATGTGGAACTGAATTGGATCACGGTGTCACAGCTGTGGGATATGGCGTTGGTGATGATGGAACTGAGTATTGGCTGGTAAAGAACTCATGGGGAACCGTTTGGGGTGAAGAAGGGTACATTAGGATGCAAAGGGGTGTGGATTCTGAGGAAGGACTCTGTGGCATAGCTATGCAAGCATCTTACCCTACTGCATAATTAAAAAAGTTGGACCCTATTATACTGTTTACTATTCGATGTATCTTTTTAAGCACTCATTCCTGTTATAGGTCGTGCATATATATTAATGTATTTCTTCCATGAACACAATATTGTACAGTGCACTTGCTATCAGTAAATTACTAATGAAGAATGAGTCCTGGCTATATAATACAAGCAAAAGGTATCCGAACCATAAAATAAATAAAGGTAAAAGTAGTGGTATGGAGGAAATCCTTAGAGACAGAATTGATTTCGCCATTAAAGAATAATTACTTGTACAACCATGGAGAGGTCGTATATATGTATAGTATTGACAGAATGTTCTTTAGCTACGTAATACGCACTCTATGAAAAATGACTTTGTCACTCTAGTGTTGAGAAGACGCCTATACAAAATTTCTCTACTAATCTATGTTAGTCACCTAAATGTGCGATTTATTGTCAATTCAAGCAAGAAATTATATGTTGGAAGACATGTTCGCTGCATGGAATTGTGAGACCACCCATGGGATGATCATATCCAAATTCTTCCTCAGCTTGACTCAACAGGTTCTGGAAAGAAGGTTGGTTCAAGTATGATACAGGGATCACAAACCGCTTCATTTTCTCTCCGACGTAAACTGCGAGAAAGCCCTTTTGAACATCTACTGCTTTTGAAGATGCTTGATTATTTGCCAATAGTGTCTTTCTGATACCAGGTAAACGAAAACCCATTGTTGTGTTGGTTTGAGATGAGTATGGTTAAAGAGAAGTGTGGAGAATAAGCTTTGATTGCTTTAGGATATGAATGATTTGTGTTGGTTCCTAAATGCTTGAAGTCATGAATATTTATAGAAAAAAAAGATATGTAAGAAGGCTGTGGCTACATGAATTATTGGTGAAGGAGGTCTATGAGATAGGAGTAATGGGACCAACTTAGAGACAAGAGCATATGGTGTTGTCTTGAGGACTTTCTCATGAATCAATGAAACATGTGATAG